CGCGGGCGCCACGGGTTCCTCCCGCTGCGGTTCCCGCGCACCGGGAGCCGCTAGAGCTTCCCCCGCCCACACGGTCCTGCGGTCCCGTGCAAGTGGCACCGATGAACGGCTGGCCCCCCCCTCGCTGCCGAGTCACTGCCATTCCTCCCGACTGGCACCCCAAGCGTTCCTGCTGTGCGTGTGCACAGACAGGGCAGCCCTGGGGCTGGCACACGTCCCTCCTCACGCTGCCCCGCCCAGCAGCTCTGCAGCCTGGTTCCCGCTGTGGCAGCAGCCTTGTCACGTGGCAGTGTGGCAGGGACAAGCCTGGCCCTGGCGCCACTCAGTGGGCCCTTGGTCCCTCGGGAACACGGCATCACCTACCAGACACTTGCTGGGACACTCTGCTGTCACATGACTGGCGATGGCACTGGGAAAACACTAAAAGGAAAAAGGAAGATTTCAGAGATGGCAGTCTGAGACGTCAGCTTCTAAACATGCGCCTCCCATTTGGTGGCAGCCAGCGCTGTCGCCAGGAGAGCCAGGGGCTGGGCTGGCAGGGCTGGGTCAGGCAGGAGGGGACGTGGGCGCCTCCCGAAGCTCCACGTGCTCTCTGTTCCTCAAATGCCGCGCAGCAGCCTTTTTAAATCTGCAGAGAAGCCGCGGGAACTGCAGCGGGAACGCTGGGAACCCTAGTCCCCCGCGGCGGGCTCCTCGTTACTCTGCTCCGACGGCCCGACTGCCCCCCACCCCCCGGCCAACGCAGCAGGGCCCAGCACAGGTCGAGGCCACGTCGGATCCTCCCAGTTGTCCCAGCAGCGCCTGTTTCCAGCTGCTTTTTGTGCCTGGTTTGGATCCAATCAGTGACCGCGCTCGGTGTGGCTGGGAGACCGCAGCAGACCCTCCGCCTCCGTCGCCTCGAGGCCCCAGCATCTCTGCGGTGCGCACCAGCCGCTGCTCCCAGCCTCGGCCTGGGCCGTCGGCTGTTTCTTCACGGTCAGACCCAGGACACACTGCGCCTCCCAGGACATGGGGGCACCCCAGCTGCCACGCCGGCTGTGACCATCTTCAAAATGTAGTAAGCGCTCAGCACGTGTGAGGTGTTGTGCTAAGTGCTTACTATGAGAATGTGTAACATAAAGTCATAACATACAGTAAATGTATTTTAGGAAATATACATTATGTTATAAAAAACAAATTTTATATAAAACTATATAAAATGAAAAATAAAAATTAGAACTTTTCAGGAGAAGACAATTCAAAAACCATGAGATAACAGCGGCAATTGAAACAAAGCAGGTGACACACTGGCTCGGTCAGCCCTCGACTCCCCAGGCCTCCGGCCGCAGGGCCGGCAAAGTGCCGGGCGCCCACAGTCCCACTCTCCTCCCCCTGCTGAATGCCACCAAGACTGAGCTCAGAGACCAGCCACGTCCGGCTGGCTAGAGTGGCCTGGCAACCACGCGGCCCGGCCAGCCATGACAGTGAGGGCCACCAGAACATACTCACGGCCACTAAGATCCAAAAGAAAGTCACTGAGAAGTGAGGGCCGGAGAGGGTGTCGTCCAGGTTCAGAGCGATGACCCCGCCCAGAACGGCAGAGACGCCGGCAATCACCTCCACGACCTGCGGGGCGTTGGCAGCAGAGGCGGCGTCACCCAGGGACAGGGATGGGCTCCCCAGGGTACCTCCGAAGCTGCGGGCGGGGCGGGGGAGGCGGGGAGGGGGGGG